CTGGTCTCTTCCTTGTTGATTGGATACCTTCTGCCTGCCAACAACAGCTTCCCCTCTGTTTCGCTGGTTTGTATGCCACTCTGACTTGGAGGTAGGCAATTTTGGACTGAAATCTCTATAAACTGCGAGCTAAATAAACTGTTCCCCCTTTAACTTTGGTATCAGGTATTTTTGTCCCAGCAAAGTAAGAATAGTAACTAAGACATCAGTCTTCTAAAAATTTTGAGTTTCTGGGCTCAAGCTATGCAATTTTCCTGGCTTAGGCTTCCAAAGTGCTAGGATTATAGGCCTGTGCCACCAAGCCCAGTTTGAACCACCCTTAAGAGAGTAAGGGTGAACTAAAAGTAATTTTTAAACTGAAACTGAGTGCTCACTATCTAGAGAACTTTACAAAGGAAATTCTGTGTAAATCTATATGAAAAGAAGCTACAAAAAAAAAAAAGCTACATAAAACAGTGAAATATGGAATCATAGTGTTAAAAAAAAAGGATAACTTACTGAACTTACAGAAAAAAGGGATAAAATGAGGAAGCAAGTGATGGAATCAATTCAAGAGCCAACAAAGAGGAGAAAGCAAGGGGAGGCAGGAGCAGTGGACTGGATGGTGCCTCCCTCTCCCCAGTGCAGCTCCATATGGGAGACAGAGCTTTTAAGGAAGAGATTCAGGTAAATTAATTGGAAATGATTAACCACTCATAGCATACAGCACCCAACACCTGGAGAATGCATGTTCTTTACCACACACGGAATACTCATGAACACCAACTATGTATGTGGTGGGCCATAAAGAAGGCTTCAATAAATCTCAAAGATCAGTATCTGTCATGGCCAGCCAGATAATCAACTCTTGTTTTAAACCACTAATTTTAGGGTTAATTTATTATACAGCAATAGATAATTAATACAGTATCCTAAGTATACTACAATGCTAACAGCTTAGAAAAATAGTAAAAAATTTACTTGAAAAAAGTAAAGTTCATTTAGAACTGTTTAATAAGGGGCTGGTGAGTTACCTCAGTTGTCTAAAGCACTTTCTTGAACAAAATCAATCAGGGGCAAAGGACTGCAGTTCAATCCCCAGCACCATATGATGTACCAGACCCGCCCTTTAGGAGCCCTCAGCCAGCCAAAAAAAAAAAAAAGAAAGAATCCTAGAACTATTTAATAAGTTAACTTATAGCTCAAAGAAGAAACAGCAATGAAAATTAGAAAGTACTTTGATAATGAAAATACAGAATACAACTTGTATTATACAACTACAGCAGTAGATATAAAGTAGTATGCATCTTTAAATAATATTAGAAAAAAGGCTGTATCTCTATTATAAATTTTAGGGCCAGCCAGATAGCTCAGCAGACTAAAGCACCTGCTTAGGCAGACAGGACACAAGTTGGATCCCCCACATGCTGTGCTGGCCCTGTCCCCAGGGCACGCTGAGACAGCAATTAAGGATTGAGACTAGTTGTGGTGGCATATGCCTGTAATCCCAGCACCTGGGAGGCTGAAAACAGGACGATCACTAGAGTCCTACTATGTAGTGAGACCCTGCAGACCCTGTGCTAAATTAAAAAAAAAAAAAAAAAAAAAAGTCGGGGCCGGGGAGATGGCTCAGTAGGATTAGCGCTTGACTGGCAAGCGCAAGGACCTGAGTTCAATCCCCGGTTCCGCCAAAAAAAAAAAAAAAAACTATGTTCAAAAAAAAAAAAGTTACCTACTATAAATTTTAAAAACAGAATGCACTGATTTATTTTTAGGCTCTCTATTCTACTTCATTGGTAAATTAAACTTTGTCATGCTGGGTGTGGTAATAAAGCCCTGTAATCCTAAGACTCAGGAGCCTGAGGCAGGAGGGCTGCTGCATGTTGGAGGCCAGCCTGGGCCAACCTGAATTATACAGTGAGATGCAATCTCAAACAACAACAACAAAAACCAAAGAAAACACTAGATCTGTGGTAGCTGATACAGAGGATTGAAGTTGAGCTCAGCCCAGGCAACTTACAAGGTCTTGTTCAAAAAGGGATGGGGGTTAGGGGTGCTGAGGTTGTAACAGTACAAAGTTCCTAAATTCAACCCCCAGTACCATCACCACCAAAAAAAAGCAGAACTGTGAGTTCTGTCACTGCTGGGGAAAAACTCAGTTACAAAATCCTTTGGCTTTGATGCTTTCTTTGAGGGAAGAGACAGTTTTATTTGTAACTACTGATTTGGTTTATTCAATTATTATACATTACATTTTCTAATTTTACAAAGTTATATGCTCCTAAGTATTTTCTTTTTTCCTAGATATGAACTGCATCACAATTTTCAAATATCCTCATAAACTTCTTCAGAATATCCTCTTTTCAGTACCTAACCTTAGTATCCCTCATATTATTTATCTATGCCTTTTACTGTTATTCTTTATCAATTTTGGAAGAGGTTCACCAGCTTTAGTAGATTTTAAGCAACTTTTTTCTGCTGATCCTCTGTATTATATTCATACTGTGAAAATGGTCAAGAGCACAGACTCTGGTATTAGACTACTTAGGATTCAATTCCAACTTCTGCACCTTGGGCTAATTCTTCTCTGTCTTAATGCCCTCAGTGGTACTGTCCTCACAGAGTTATTATGTGTACTGAGTTAGGAAATAAATATTCAGAAGATTGAATATCACATAGAAAATGAGTCTTTGCTATTACAATTATCACCACTAGTAGTGTTACTGTCTTTTGTTGTTGTTATTGTTGCTTTTTTTGGTACTGGGAATTGAACTCATGACCTTGAGCTTGCCAGGCAGGTTTGTGCCACTGAGCTATTTCCTGGCCCACTAGTAGAAGTGTTATTACTAAAAATTCAACTACGAGATTACAATTAAGGTAAAACACTTCAACAGACACTTAGAGGAGTAAAGCAGGCAAGCACACAATCTCTGGTGTTTTACATAATGTGGCTGCTTCTATTACTTAGCAATTTACTTATCTACCAAATACAGGCTAGATATAATGTCTGAAATTTATATGACTAAGAACTGGAGGCCAATAGAAAATATCTCTCATTTGAATACACAGATATAATTATAGCCAGGTGTGGTGATGCACATCTGCAATCCCAGCCTTTAGGAAGTTGAGGCAGGAGGATTCTAAGTTCAAAATCAGCCGGGTCAAAGTAAAAACACAAAAATGGTTAAGGATGTAGTAGCTTGGCCTTCCTAGAGAAGGAGGGAGAAAAGAAGAAGAAATGAAAAGACTGAGGAAGGGAGGTGTCAGCAGGGGAAGGAAGAGGAAGTGTCACAATGGCAAGTTCTTATCGCACTGAAAACTGAACTAGGCACTGCTTGGTGCTGGCCAAAGTCTAGAAAATCTGACATGGAAAAGCAGTTAGGCAGAGTGTACTGTTAAATCTTTTTTAAAAAAACCTTATTTATTTATTTGAAACAGGGTCTTGCTACGCAGCTCGGACTCATGGTGATCCTCCTGTCTCAGCCTCTCCACTGCTGGGATTACAGGCATGTGCCACCATGCCCAGTTTCGGTGGCTGGCATGGTACACCAAGGGTTCCAGCAGGCTGGCACTGCACATGGTACCAAAGATTGAACCCAGGTCCTTGCACTTGTCAGGCAGACGCTTAGACCACTGAGCTATCTCCCCAGCCCTGTCATATTATCTGAAAGGCAAACTGCAGACATGTATCAAAAATTTTAGACTGGGCATGGTGGTGTGCCCCTATAAACCCAGTGCTTGGGGAGGCTGAAAATAGGAGGATCACTGTGAGTCCGATCTGTGTAGTGAGACCCTGCAGACCCTGTACTAATTTAAAAAAAATATATATATACCATGCCTGGGCATAGTGGTACATGCCTGAAATCCCAGCACTAAGGAGGCTGAGCCAGGAGGATCACTGTGAGTTTGAGGCCAGCCTGGGCTACAAAGTGAGTTCAATGCCAGCCTGAGCTGCACACAGACACCCTGCCTCAGAAAACCTTACCTCAAAAGTGAAATCCATACAAAGCATAACATTCACCCCTCCTTCAGGCGCTACCCTAGTGTGTCCCACCCTGTAGAGAATGGATGAACTCTGGACATGCAGAGGACACTGCTGCTCCAACCGATGGAAAATCTGCTCCTTTTTCAAAGCATACTGCCAAATCAAACTGAGATTTAAACTCAACCATATCATTTTCATTAACAGAAGTGGTCTATACTTTATAAGGCAGATGTCATAGAATAAATAGGAATTATAGAAGTACTAAAAAATCTAAGAATAAAATAACTAAGAACACTGGAACACTGAAAAGCATAGTCTAAGTAACTATAATACATTAATATAATTCTGCCAGATTTCTATCAATACTTAAAAATTTTATTTATTTTTCTTTTTGAGACTGGGTCTCACTACGCAGATCAACCTGGCCTTGAGCTCACTTTTTAGCCCAGACTGGTCTCAACCTTACCTTGCAGTGATCCTCCTGCCTCAGCCTCCAGAATGCTGGCATTACAGACATGTACCACCATACCTGGCTTAATACTTAAAACTATTAAAACAGGGCCAGGGAGATAGCTCAGCAGAATAAGTGCTTGTCTGGCAAGCCCAAGGGCCTGAGTTCAATCCCCAGTTCTGGGGGAAAAAAAAAAATTAAAATACCTCAAGTACAATTAGATGAGCTAATATTAATTAATTTCAAAGTAATCTAACTTGACTTTGTCTTCCTTTTCCTTTCTTTCCTTTTTTTTGTATTTAGGGCAGGGTCTACAGAGTCACACTGCACAGATCGGACTTGTAGTGATCCTCCTGTTTTTCAGCCTCCCAAGTGCTGGGATTACAGGCAGGTGCCACCATGCCCAGTCTTAATCACCATCTCAGCACGTCCTGGGGGCGGGGTTGGCACAGCAGGCCCAGGGATCGAACTCCCAGCCCCTGCTTCTGCCTAAGAAAAGGCCAGCCCTTTTCCTCGACTTTCCCATATTTTAAAGATTCTATGTTAGCTTTCCTACTAAGTGTAGCAATGTTCAAAAGCACTGACCTTGCCATGGCTTCGTTCCACTTTCTGAAAACATTTATTCAGGGACAGATTATGACGAACAGAATTCTTCCATCCCGTTGGCGCAGTAGCAAAATATGGGAAGCGGTCCAGAATCCAGCTATAAATTTCTTTGACAGGCAAACATTTATTTGGAGAGTGTTCAATAGCCATATAAATGAGAAGGCTAAAGGAATATGGCGGTTTTGAGGAGGTTGCTTTGTTGTCTGGGTTCTGGTGGCAGGGTGGTCTGTGGGATGGCACAACCCCACCCTCGATGTCATACAGGGGGCTCAGCCCCGGAAGGCCCTCACCGCCCAGGCTGAAGTTTGTAAGCAGATTGGTACTTTCGTGAAGCCAGTTCAAGCTCGTCAGCTCATCATCTGCTGACTCATTGCCCACAAGCGCAGCCTCTGGCCTGGCGGCGTCAGCAGCTTCAGGTAAGCTTCCCATTGTGTAAATCTGGCTCAGTCCTGCTACCTTCTCAGCTCCTGGAGTTTCAGCTCTTTTATCTGGAGTCATTCCAATTACTGGACCCATTTACTCTTATAGGTCTGCAAAGAAAAGAATCATCAATAAATGTAATACCCAAGAACCACAAATTCCAGGAAAAGGAAATAGCATTGTATTTATGTATTTGGTACAGGGTCTCACTATGTAGCTCAGACTCAATAGTGATCCTCCTGTTTTCAGCTTCCCCGTGCTGGGATTATAGACATGCGCCACCACACCCAGTCTAGGGGTGGCAGGCTCAGCATGCCTGGGGGCAGGGCCAGTGCAGCAAGTGGTGCCAGGGATTAAACCCCGGTCCCCGAGCTTGCCTAAGCAGGGGCTTAGTCCACTGAGCTATCTCGCCAGCCCCATAATCCTCAAGTCAAAAAAAGTTGCAGTCAGTTACCCCCTATAATATTTAAGCATATTTTATAATGAAGATATTGTTACAATACAAAGAGAATTTATTCCTATTATTTGAAACAGTTATACCTAAAATGGAATTTTATAACATCATATGTAGGAGTGATAAACAAAATTGTACAATTTAAATACTTGGTAAAGTAGCCAACCTACAGTAACCACCCGATAGTAACAGTTATTACTAAAAACAAATAGGCTATGTCTTTGAATTATAAGACTTTATATTTCTGAATGGTCTATATTTTATTTTACTATAATACTCATCTATATAGTTTAATTCTAAAAATAATCAAATGTGAATTAGCATTTAAACTAACTGAATAAAATAATTAATAAAAAAACAAATAAATCCTTTCCCCAAATCAGAAATATTTACTATAAAAAGCTAAACCATCCAGTTACTCATGATGCTGAAGCAGCAGGATCATGAGTTCAAGGCCAGACTGGCTGACTTAGCAACCTCCTCTCTCCAAATAAAATTTAAAGAGGAACTGACAGTGTAGGTACTCAGTGGAACAGCGCTCTTGACTTTGATCCCTAGAGTTAAAATTTTAAAAATTGACCATTTCTAGTATTTTAAGGCTACAAAGTAGCTATACAAAGCTACTGGTTTTCAAATTATTTATTTTAAATTACATAATTGTATATATTCAAGAATATAATGTGATATACTGTATACATTACACAATGATAAAATTAAGCTAATGAACACATCCAGACCTCACACACTTTTTACTACTTTATAGTGAGAACACCTGAAATCTACTGTTCTAGCAATTTTGTAATACACATAATCACTCAATGCAGTCACTATGCTGCGCAACAGAGGACTACACCCAGCTCTCCTTCGTAACTGGAGCTCTGTGCCCTTGAACTCACACCTCTCCCTTCACTGTCTAGCCTCGAATCCCCTCGCCAAGCCCCTCCTCACAGCACTGGCAGCCACCACAGTGCTATTTCTATGACTTCAACACAGCAACGTTTATTCCTTGTTCTCTCTCCCTTTTCCTCTCCCTCCACCCCTCCCTCCCTCTTTTATGTAGTCTCCAGATGCAGTTCAGGTTGGCCTTGAACTCACTACGGAGACCGGATCTACCTTGAACTCACTGCAATCCTCCTGCTTCGGCTTCCCTGAGTGCCAGCATTAAAAGAGCGCAGCACAACAGCCAGCGATTTCCAGTATCTTAAATCTGAGTTCTGTGCCGCCTACTGAAGCACTGATGTACACTCCAAAGCTGACGCCATCTTAGGTTTGAACTACCACCGCATTGTTAAGGAGAGTAGAAAAGGGTATTTTATATCTATTTTCTCAAATGATTTATTTTCAAAAACACACATTAAAAAAAAAAGAAAAAAAAGAAAAAAGAAAAAAACCATCAAGGGAAAATAATCAACCAGAGAGCAAAGTAACAGAATTAATGTGCCATTTCACTTTCGATGGCTCATGGAGATAACTCACTTCTTAATTCAGTGAAAACCCTTCTATTATTTTAGTCACTCTGCATGTGTTTATGTACCTTCAGAGTTTCATTTTGCTTAATATACCTGGAAGGTCACTTCAAGAATTTTAAGAACTGGTGAATTTTGGATGTCCACCTGGGTTTCAGTAGTTATTATTAGATCATAATACTCAATTATGATCAGGAAAATACTTCAAGGGTTGTATGTTGTTAAACATTTTACATATCTCAACTAACCATTAAATAAACCATATGAATCAAGTACTATAATCTATTTAGATATGAAAAAAAGATTCAAAGGTTAAGCACCTTGCTTGCTGCCTAGCTACTTAAGAGGAAACACTGAAACTTAAACCCAGAAAGACTAACTTCAGAACCAAACTCTAATCAGCATAAACCTTAACCACATTAAAAAGACATTACCTATCAGAACAATCACTTAACTCTTATTCATTTAAATTATCAGCATTCTCTTCATACCCAGTCCTTATTTCTCTCAGGTAGACCAGTAACTTAAAACATCAAGACACCGTAAAAAGGAAAAGACCAAACTACAACAAATTTAGCTTTTTCTGTCAATTATCAAGACCACATATATAAAAATTCAGATATATACACAATATATTTCAATTGACATCCAATATGTAACTGATTAGACTTTTCCATTTTTGTACCAAAATCTTTCGACTTATACAGACTTTATTTTTTGATTGATTTTTGATTGATAACGACTGAGAAAGGATCTTGCTATGTAGTTCAGCCTGGCCTTGGACTACGAGGACCTGAGTGGCCTCAACCCCACAGTGATCCTCCTGCCTTAGTTCCTAAGCACTGGGATTACAGGCATGCACCACCACACCTGGCTCCAGTAATCCCAGCATTTGGGAGGCTGAGGCAGGAGATGGAACACAAGTTCATGCCCTGTCTAGGCCACCTAGTGAGCCCTTGTTTCTAAAACCCTAAGCTTACCCCTAACCTAACCTGGACAACTTAGTGAGAGATCTTATTTCTAAATGAAATGAATGAGTATATATTTGTATGGGGATATAGTTCAGCTAGCTCAAAGGTGCAGTATTTAATCCTCAGGACACAAAGGAAAACGAACTATAATTATTTCAAATTTAAATATATATATATATTTATTTATTTATTTATTAGACACCATTTAATATACATATTACTTCAGCAGTTTGCCATACTAATACAGGAAGTAAGTGCCTGGAAGCTAATGGTCACTATTTTGGGCACCTCTTACAGAGGCCAAAAATAATGTATTAATCTCATGTCTAATAAATTTAGTATTAAAATATTGATAGTTTTCTTTTCATGGTACTTTCTTGGTGGTGCCCCCTCCCCACTCCCTCTTTTTTTTTTTTCCTTGAGAATATAAGCTACCTCCCTAAGGTTCTAAAAGTAATAAAAACTATAACCAATATTATAAACCTGGCTAAATTCTGTTGTTTGTCCATTAAAGTTGTACAAAATTTAAGAAACTTTATTTTTAGCAATACCACGGCTAAAAAGGAGTGAGTTAACATATATTCAAAAATCAGTCTTAGTTACTATCACTCATTAAATAGTTTAATCAGAAACTAGTTTAGTGGTTATGGTGTCGCATGCCTGGGCTACATATGAAGTGAGTTCTAAACCAGCCTGAACTGCATAGAAATGCTGTCTCAAAAAGACCAAAACAAAAAAGTAAATGAATAAATAAATTAATTAAAAATGCATTTAACACAGGCCCTGGTATGTAGTAAGCATAGATGTTAATACTAATGATATTTGCTTTTGCCTAATTAGTAGTTTAAAAATACATGCAATGCACAGTTTTGCTTTTGTTTTGTTTTGAGACAACACCCTGCTGTGTAGTCCAAGCTGGTCTTTAACTCGCAATCCTCCTGCCTCAGTTTCCTGAGTGCTGGTGCATTATTATATGCACCGTATAATGTACACACTTGAATAAGGACTCAGGACCATTTTTGGAAAGCTAACTGAAAATTTAGGGGCTGGGAAATGGCTCAATAGAATAAGCGCTTGCCTGGCAAGCACAAGGGCCTGAGTTCAAGCCCTGGCTCCACCAAAAAAAAAAAAAGGAAGAAGAAATGAAAATTTATACCAAAAGCTGGCAAATATTTCACAGTCTTCGATCCACCAATTCCAACAACTCATTCTAACAGAACAATGCCATACAGAGAAATCTTCTTAGCCCTTCATCAAACATCCATTGATTAAAGATAATGAAAAACTATTAGCAACTTACATTTCCTTCAACAGAGAACTGGTAACTAAACCATATGTATCTATCCAATTTAATATTTAATAGCCATTAAAAATGATTATCTGAAAAAGACTGAAATACTTTTAGTGCTATTTCTTTTTTTTTTTTTTTTTGGCAGAACCTTTTTTTTTTTTTTTTTTTTTTTCTCAGAACTGGGGATTGAACTCAGGCCCTTGTGCTTGCCAGAGAAGCGTGTATTCTCCTGAGCCAACTCCCCAGCAAATGTGTTTTTTGGGTTTTTTTTCTTTTTTTGCGGAACCGGGGATTGAACTCAGACCCTTGCTCCTGCCAAGCAAGCACTTATTCTACTGAGCTATCTCCCCAGCTGAAATACTTTTAGTTGTATTTGCATAACTCTCTCCCCTCCCTCCCCCACCCCTCTTGCTGTCTCCCAGACCTACACACATCAATTCAAAAAAGGTCATGGACTTATCAGAAAGCTAAAGACCGAAACAGAAGCCACCTCTTAGATTCTCAGAATAGCCTACTCTGTTACAAAGCTGTTCCTTACAACAAATTAGCTCACTGGTAAAAAGGGGCAACAGCCGCTTTAGCATAACATAAAATCCCATTCATCTGTACATGACTTTGCCAAATAACAGCTAAACCCAATCAGGCTAACTCAGCGGAAAACAGAGAGCTACTGAACGTACAGTGCTGAATACAATTTTCATTCAACCCAGGTTCTCCTTGACGGACAGCCACAGCTCTTTTTGGAAATGAGCTCTCTCCAAATCTTCATGCACGGCACCCTGTCTACACTACTGTAGCTTCAACCATCCTTTTCCATCTTTTATCTTTCTGATCACAGTATTTCTGCGCAACACAATGTTTTAAAACATTCTAATGTTCTAATTTTTATTTTCATTAGCATTCTACTACAAAGCTGCAGTGTTTTAGATAACTTGACCCTGCAGCTATGCATAATTTTAGCATTTTTAAGAATATATAATAAATAACATGCAATACTGCTAGAAAAAGCTATACATAATAGACAAAAAATTTAAAGAAAACTTTAGGTTTTACTTGGAAAATTCTACTTTTATATAAAAATTTGTCTTAAATGGAAAACATTCACTAGCAAAGCACTAATGATACACATGATTAGTTTGCTTCATAAAGCAAATGTATAAAGAACAAAAAGGAAATCTGGGCTATAAATCTTTTAAGAACCACTATTTTAGCCAGGCATTCTGAGATAGGAAGATTGAAAGTCAGAGTTCAGCCAGCAAACTTACTGTTAAAAAAAAAAAAAAAAGTGAAACCTCCAGTAACTGTGAGCTAAATAAACCTTTCCTGCCTTCATTTTGGGTATCAGGGGCTTGTCCCAGCAACTAGAGAAGAGTAACTGAAACAAGAAACCATATATCAATAGTACATACAGTAAATATCATTCAAAGGAAGCATTAGAGGTCAACAGACTATAATAAGAGAACATAATGCAGAAATGGGAAAGTGTACAGTACGACAATTTGTGTGGGGTGGGCAGAGGAGCTATAACTAGCTTAATCAAGTAATTAACACAGTCACTAAACCATTTCTAAACTGCTAAAAAGAGATTAAATATAAAAGAATTTAGCAAATGTAGATTTGTGTTTAGACTTCAAGTATTCTACATTTTAGGAAGGAACCTTTTCTCCTTATATTATAAGGAGAATTTCAGAAAAGTTCAAACAAATTTGCTAGTGTACATTCACACTGGAACCCTGTCTAGTTTCACTGTGTAAAAATATGGTGGTACCTGAGAGAATTTGGGAGTTAAAGGTGCCATTTTTGCCACAGTAGCGTAGCTCATCAATTTCCCAATGCATCTAGTGCATGTTGTGTTCTGTACTACAATGTTATTCTACTCTAGAACAAGAAAAATAAAATTACATATTGAAATTTCTCAAAATGATCATTTCTCATTTTGTTTTACCATGCTTTTGTCTTTTCTTTTCTTTCTTTTTTTTTTTCTTTCTGTATTTTTAGGGAAAGATCTACAGGGTGTTCAGGTTCTCACTACCAGGTCAGACTCATAGTGATTCTCCTGTTTACAGCCTCCCAAGTGCTGGGATTACAGGTGCGCACCTCCACACACAGCCTCAATTGACATCTTTGTGCACTCCGGAGGCGGGGCGCCAGCACAGCAGGCCCAGGGATCGAATCCCCAGCCCCTGGGCCTGCTTGCAGGCAGCTTTAATCCACTAAGCTATTTGGCCAGCCCCATGTTTTGTTTTTGAGATAGGGTCTCACTTTGTAGTTCAGGCTGGTCTTCAACTCACTCCAATTTTCCTGCCTCAGCCTCCCAAGTGTAGAAGCATGCCTAGTCCTTTTGCTCTTTTTGACCTTAAAAGCTTCTGCCATCATTGCTTATCTACTTACTCTTTATTAATTTATCCACTTGCTTGCCATTCTCTTATTTCTTTCTTAAGTCAAGGCTGTACTGACCATAGTGCCTGCCTGGTAAGCTCAAGGTCCTGAGTTCAATCCCTGGTACAAAAAAACCCAAAAACCTATGACTACTTTCCATCTACTTAAAAGGTGTCTGGGGCTGAGAATGCAGCTCAGTAGCAGAACGTGTGCTCAGCATCCCAGGCAGGTGCTGTGCCACTGAGCTGCAGCCCAGCCCTCGCTTAGTATGCCAGAGAACCTGGGTTCAATCCCCAGCACCACAAAGAGGGGGGAGATGTTAGTGAATTTTCAGATTTCACTCATCTGAATGTCTTTATTTTGCCCTTGTTTTTGGAAGATGTTTGCTAGCTAATATTCTAGACTGACCTCTATTTTAGTTTGCCACATATCATTTTGTTATTTTCCACGTTATTGAAACTTGGATTTCCTTTGAATATAATCTGCTCTCTTAAAAGAATTGCCCTTTATTAATCTCTTATATCTTCCATTTTGTCTCTGTTGCATTCTGAATTTCTTCAGATTTACCTTTCATTACACCAGTTTTCCTCAACAGTCTGTTTACATACTTAGCCACTGAATTTTATGGTCAATATCTATGCATTCCTAGAACTTCTGATTCTTTTTTCAAAATATTTGTTCTTTTCTCATTTTAAGCCTCTCACTGAACATATTAAATGGACTTTTATCTTTTGCATCTGGTAATTCCCAGTCACTATATACTGGTCTGACTCCCCTTAGTCTCTCATACTGAGGCCAGTGCTTTTGGATGACTGGTAACTTTAATTGTAAACTACTTACTTATAATTTCACAAATGTGTCCTAGATAATGATGATTATGTTAAGTTTTAGCAGTCCCTTGGAAGTAGTAACAGTCCAGGCCCATTTTAAATGTTTTAGTGTGGATTCACGTTGTACGCCAGTGTGAATGCTGGTTTGTGGTAGCAAATTTTCAGTAAAGATTTTATTTTTCCTATTTGCAACAATAGTCTAAGATAATTTTCTGGGAACATGAAAGAATTTCTAGATCATGAAGCACTTGAATGATTTAGCCCTACAGGCCTCCAAAATAATGGGGAAGACATTCCTTCTACACACTCTATCTTGACTAGGTGTGCCTTTTGCTGCCTAAGCTTGAGCTCTCTAAAGCCATAAAAATACAAGAAAATACCCCAGGGGAATGGCCAGCTTCAGACTGCAGTTTACTTCAAGGATTTCCACTTAGGCGTTTGGCCTAGGTTCTTTACTTTTGGCCAGAACATGGATGCATTTACAATGATTTTATCTGGCACTTCAGGATGCTTTCAGCAGAAAGCGGGGCCAGCCAGGTACTTAGTTCACCATGCTGTGGGAAACAAACAAATGCTGAAATTAGTTCTTCACGGCAACCTCACTGAAG